ACACACACATGCACAAACAGAGTTGACTGCATTTATAAATGCTGGAGCACAGATCAAAGCATCCTATAGCACAGTGGCCACAATGCTTTGTTCGTGTGCAGCATGTATAAGTGTCAACATCTATGACAAAATGTTCTCTATAAATCTATGTTTCTGTATTTCTGTACACTAATCAACTGCATTTCAGTGTGTAAATAATCAAGTATGTCAGGTAGTGATAGTCAGCTGCATGCTCCACATTCTATCACTTTCTGCTGATTTTAAGGATAATCAAATCAAATAATAAAATAAATTGACACTATCAGTAATTAATAGTGTTTTCCTCTGGGAATCTAGCATTTTCAGCTAAATAAAAGAAAATATAAAATGTGAAAAGAAAATAAAATCATAAGAAATCATGGAAAAGACGCAAAAAGTTTGTTGTTTTCCCCTGGGAATCTAGCAATAAAAAATAAATAAATAAAATAAAATAATATAACAGTTAGAAGTTTGTAATAAAGTTTTTTTTTTTTTTTTTTAAGTCTTTTATGCTCACCAAGGATGCATTTATTTGATAAAAAAAATACAGTAACATTGTGAAATATTATTACAATTTACAATAATTGTTTTCTATTTTAAAATGTATTCAAATATATTTTATTTTATTCCACAAAAAAATTTTTTTTTTTTAAATTAAACATTAATAAAAAATGCTGAAAATTCAGCTTTACCATCACAGGAATAAATTACATTTCAAAACATTAAATAAGAAAACAGTTATTTTAAAATATAATAATATTTCAATATACTAATACTAGCGTTTTCTACTAATAGTAACATTTTCTGCTGATACAAAATAAAATAAAAAAGTAAAAGTAAAACAATACTATCATTTTATATGTGAAATTGTCAGTGGTTTACCCTGGGAATGTAGCATTATTTCCTAATTTCAAGAAAAAAATTTAATTAAATACATAAAATAAGAAATCCTAAGAAGATATGTAGAATTCTTTAAAATGTCTAAAATTAAATTATGAATTTCCCTAGTTTAGTTTAAGAAATATTTATTTCTGTCAGGACCACTATTGTCAAAGATGATTGACAATTAGCATACAGTTTGGATTGGCGGTATGGTTCTGTTCTGGGCAAGAACTCCCTGCGCATCCATGCACCTGTACTGTATTGTATATTGTATAGTCTTACACTTACACTCTTAAAAATAAAGAAGAACATTTCTGGGAGCAGTTCTTTAATCTTTTAAGAACATTTTTACATTATAAAGAAACTTTTGTGAAAAACATCAATGCAAATAAAGAACCTTTATTTTTAAGAGTGTAATATTTATTTTAAGGTGTCCTTGTTACAGTGTAATTATACATTTAAGTACCGAGTAATATTAATTAACTACATACACCTACTATATGGTTAGGGTTAGGATTACTTGCATATAATTATGCATAATTTATTGTTATTACAATAGTAAGTACATGTAACGTGTAACAAGGACACCTTCAAATAAAGAGTTACCGTGCAATATTGTAGTTGTAACTGTCCCACAAGCTATACTGTGCAGTAATGAATTCTATTCTACATTCTATGATCTATTCTATAATCTATCAATTCTGTTCTATTTTATTCTATTAGTATGTTTTTTTCCTCTACCTGTGTATTTGTAGTAGATAAAAATCTGTCCACTATCAGCATTAATAAGCAATTCAATCCTATTTTAATGTTATTTTCAGCAGATCATCAGATTGAATTATCTTCATTGTAATCAAAAGGGTGTTCTTGACTAATTCTAAATTCTTCATTTCTTGTCCCAGATAACATATAACACGTGTTCTCATTTTTCCTTCTATAGGTTTACAGTATTAAGAAAGTAATAATATACTCTAAAAACAGAATTATATGCAGACTTCTGGTCTAAAGTACGTAGGTGTGTCTTAAGGCTGTGTCAGGAGAACCAGACACCCTAAACGAACTCAACGAAGCAAACGTAGCCGATTATACATCTGGTTTATAAGGCTGTTTTCAACAATAGCAAAATCCATCATTCCACAGTGATACTGAATAAACAGAAAAAGATCAACATTTGATACAGTTGCCAAGTACAGTTGAGACGTGACAGGATCCTGAGAAATGTGAATATATGAATTAATGAACAGAAGCAATGCTGTGAAGATGAGTGGGCCAAAATTCATTTGAATTTGAGAAAATGGAGGATATGCTTTAGACATCCTAGTACAAGCCATATGATATTGGCATTTATTATCTAATGTTTATAATTATGTCTATATTAGAGGAAACCATTTCTATGGAAAAAAAAAAAGACAAGCAATTATTTAACGCCTACTTTTTTGTATAAAATAAAAATAAAAACAAAAACAATCAAATGTTGTTTGATGTGAGATTATTATTGAGATTATACACAGATGGAAAAACACACGAGTAACAAAGTGTGGGAGGCAGTTTTGCAGAGAATTTCTTAGCTATATGACAATATAAACATTATTTCATGTGATTATTCTTATTTTTGCAGAACGAACAGAGAATAGCATACAAAGAACGGCAGGATCTGCATGGGAAGACAGATTTAAGTAAGTGATTAATTAAAGGAGTCTGTACATTATGTTTGTTTATTTGACTCACTATGTGAACATAGTGATGGTGTGTAAAGGTGACTATTAAATAATGCGATTTATCAATAGCAACAGTGAGGAGGTTTTGGTACAGTCATGACTCAGAGGACTGTAATCTACCATAATATACCATGGGACAAAGGTTTAAACTATCTTATCAGTGTGGTTTCCTGGGATTTAGCAACATGTTTTAGGCAATGAAAATAAAAAAACTCTCTACATACAAGAATAGATAAAAAATTCTATTTGTTAGAGAAAAGACCTATAAGTTAACATACGTAATGCAATTGCTAATGAAAAATATAAGCATTTCTGTCAGGACCACTATCGTCAAAGATGCCAAGCCTAGCATGGATGAGATCAGGGAGAGCAGCGATAACCCCCCAGGGTAAACAGAACAGAACCAATATAAATGTATTGCAGATATCGTTAAAGTTCAATAATTTTATGTACACATTTTAGAATTAGTCTGATTCAAAGGATAATCAGAAGGCTGAATCCTGACTGACAGAGGAGGAGCTGGGGATGGAGGAGGGTAATTAGCTATTGAGCAATGCGAAAACTGCTGATAATACTGAGGGACCTTATCTATGAATGATTAGATAGGTGTCGTATTCCTATAGGTAGATGGGGGTCAGCTGATGCGAGCTTGACTAACGTGACCTGCCAGAACTAACGCTACGTTTGATAATTATTATTTAATGCACCTAGAAATTACTTTTTGTCAAATCCCTATCCAGTTAATGACGAATGGTTGAAAAAGTTATGGAAATTCATAAGCCAACATGTTTAGAGTCCCACATTTGGCTCAAATACTTAATAAACGCATAATGGAGGAGTGATTGATGTGAACTTAGTGAATGACGGGCGTTTGAGCGTTCTGTGCAGTTCTGCGCTTACATTCTCCCTGTTGAAATGCATATTAGAGATGAGAACTGACTTGACAATTCAAATATCACATTGCTTGAAAAGTAAAGACACCGAGACACTTTGTTCAGGACTGAAAAGTGGCATTAATTTCACACTAAGAAGGGTCTCACTGTTCCACGCTCCGCATCAAATACATCCTTCCCGTCTCACAGCCGTAGAAAATGACTGCGCTGGAGAAGGACACCAACGATGTGGGTAATAAACATGAAGACTGGCAAATCTGAGAGAGAACCAATGAGAACAGGGGTGAAAAAAGTAGAAAGAAAGAAGTGGCTGTCAAAAGAACTCCGTTTTCTCATCATCACCGAGGAAGGGGAAAACAAAGAAGCATCTGTCTCTAGACCTAGAGAGGAGGATCTGTCATGAGCAGCAGAAATAATAAAGCAAAAAGATGATGCGATGCTTCACTGTTTCACAAGTCTGGCTCTCTGAAGAAATACTAAATCAGTAGAGCTTCAAAAGAGCTGTAGAGGAAGAGTATGCTAAACCCATGAGTAATACTTCCTCACTTAAAACGCTTGCTGAGAGGACGGCCATGGAGAACTGCTGCCCCCTCGTGTGCGCTTTGGATGCTGTATGAATATGCATTTGTGTTGCGTGCATCATAAACTGTAATTGTAAAATTTATGATAATTCCAACAGGTCCAGCCGCATTAGTATAGAAAGCACCACAGAGTCAAAGTGTGTACAATTTTTAGAGAATTCAACCTGTGATAAATGGCTTACTTGTCAGTGTCATTAACTAAACTACTTTAAAAAAAGGCATTTTTGTTCATAAAAATATAGATATTAATATTAGATGAAAGTTTTAGGGCAAGTTTAAGTTGAAAATAAAATAAATAGAAATAACAAAAAAAAAGAATAGAATGACAAAAGCACATACAATTACTAAAACATTTAAATAAAATGTTAAAATATTTTATTTAAACGTTAAAATAAAAATAAGAAAAAAAGTAATTGACTTATTTGAATAAAGTAATATTAATAACTACTTTAAAGTAGACAAATAATACTAAAATAACATTTCTAATCATCTCTGCACATTAAACTGGAATAGTGAAAGTATTTTATTGCAACGATCATCTGCTTCACCTGTAGAGACAACATAAAATGACATTAGCAACAAATGTTCCATCTATATACAATGGCATATTTCAGTGAAACACAATATTGAGTGTCAAATGATGTAGGAAAGGATTTGATTTTATCCATTAAAATCAGGGACTGATTGGATCATGAAGAGAGTGAAATAATTATTTACGAAAAGATGTAATGCTTTTCAGCATACATTATGAATATCTATATAATGCATCATACATAAAGGCTTCAGGTTAAGTGTTACCATAATTAAAGAATGCTAAGTGACATACACTTTACTGTTAATTACTGACCAGTATAAGAGCTGTGGCCTGTAGCGGTCAGTGTTAGTAAGTGGTTTGCTGTTTGTGTCAGTTTGTGTTTTGCAGGGACTGTAAGGCAGAGTTTCACGAGGACCCCTGCAGACAGAGGACAGACACAGCAACAGGAAGTGCCCTGCAGGTGAGGACTTCAACTTTTAATATTAGTTCATCACATATGCATGGACACAGTTCAATTTATGTTGGCTAGATATCATCAGTCAAGGTGAAAATACACCCCATCTGCTTAAATATTCTCTCTTTTGGGTCGAGCAGCCCAGAGATTATAGTCGTAACGGTGTCAGTGCAGGACAATGCGTGCAAGCCATTCACAAATCACCTGATTCATAAATGAATCACATAAGAGAGGAATTTAAAGCTGTTTAAGATCAAATCTGTCTGTCTTACTGTGCTGCGTTTGATCTCTGCTGTGTGTGTGTGTGTGTGTGTGTGTGTGTGTGTGTGTGTGTGTGTGTTTCAGGGCTATATTGCAGATGAAGATGCGGCTCTTCATGCCCGCTGGGAACAGGCTTCACAGGAAACTATAGCCGAAACCACTCACCTTTGCCCCAAATGCCAAGTTCCTGTGGAAAAAAACGGTGTGAATTGTCTTTTACCTTTCTCTAATTTGTCAGGGACTATATTCAAAATAGTGTACTACTATTACTTACTAATAACCCGTGCTGTGCAGTAACTGATATGTAATATATGTGTATAACCATATATGTAATATGGATTATGTAATCAGATTTCAAAAATGAACTACTTGTGATTAGAATATATAGTATGTTTTAAAATAGACATAACTTTTTTGTTGATTACATGATGTTATTCATACAATGGCAGTAAATTATTAATAATTTATAATTCTTCTTTTTTATCTTTTAAATTTTAAGCCTGTCACTTATAAAAATCTTCTAGATTTGTGGAATTTAACAACAGATTTGCATGTTCATGTTGGCATGCATGGCATGCAGGTAAATATTTCAGTATTTTTAGTAAGTGTTTTATTTTGATAGTTTTTATTTGTAATTTTTTTTTTAATTGCTTATTTATTTCAATGTGACATTTTTGTGATTTAAAGGGACCGTTCACCCAAAAATGAAAATTCTATCTACTCACCCTCAAGTTGTTCCAAATCTTAATGATTTATTTTTTATTTATTTTTTATTTTTTAATCTGAAGAACACAAAATAAGATATTTTGAAGAATGTTGGTAACCGGGAGCATGGGAAAAAAATACTATGAAAGTCAGTAGGTGCGTTTGCATGGAGCATTGTATTCCGATTACAATCGGTTTAAAAGTATATGAATAAAAATGCTGCATGTAAACACCTCAATCAGAATAAATGCAAATTATTTTTTTTTTGTGTGTGTGTGTGCTTATATTAGTCTTGCATTTCCATTTCAGTGCGACACATAAACCTGAAATTATATCAGCATTTTTTTTTTTTTACATATACTGGAATATTTGATTCTCCAAAGGGCTAAATATTAATATTATTTCATTTTAATATTTTGTCATATCATTTTCATTTTAATAATTTGTTTATATATTTTTATATATTATATATCCAGTGTTTAAATTTGAATTTAAAATTAACTTATATGAATATATTTATAATGTTTTATAAAGGGGTGGTTGACTGGTTTTTTTATAGGCTTGATTGTGTTTATGGGGTGCAGTCTAACATGTGTTAATGCTTCGTTTGTTAAAAAACGCATTATTTTTGTTAAAAGTATATGAATAAAAATGCTGCATGTAAACACCTCAATCAGAATAAATGCAAATTATTTTTTTTTTGTGTGTGTGTGTGCTTATATTAGTCTTGCATTTCCATTTCAGTGCGACACATAAACCTGAAATTATATCAGCATTTTTTTTTTTTTACATATACTGGAATATTTGATTCTCCAAAGGGCTAAATATTAATATTATTTCATTTTAATATTTTGTCATATCATTTTCATTTTAATAATTTGTTTATATATTTTTATATATTATATATCCAGTGTTTAAATTTGAATTTAAAATTAACTTATATGAATATATTTGAATTTTAAAAGACGATATCTCCGTTTGCATTGAACTTTCAGCTTCGTAACTTTGCAGATATTGTTTATGATCAAACAGCAACATTACACACTAACTAACATTAAAAAAGTGAAATTGCAATCAACCACAACTTTAACTAATTATATGTTTATGACATTAGCTAAACACAGTTGGCTGAATTAACTATGTGTGTGATGAGGAAGGGTTCTTCACTCTTATAAAAATGATTCCAAAAGTAGGTTTTCTCAGCGATGTCATAGAAGGACCATTTTTGGTTCCCCAAAGAACCCTATATATATATATACTTTTTTCCAGTATAAAGAACATTTTGTATAATGGAAAGTTCCCATGGATGTTAAAGGCTTTTCATGGAACCTTCAATGCCGATAAAGAACCTTTAGTTTTTACAGTGTTTTGGGAACCCAAACATGTTTTCATGGGCATCACTCTGAAGCCCCATTATTTTTAGGAGTGTACTATTTTAAAATTGTACATATTATACGGCGTATGTATGGATGCTTGAATATTTACAGTATTTCAAAGACTGCTCGGTCATTGGTTGGCTATCTTTGTTGTTATCTTTAACCTTGAAAAGTGCTCTGTAAAGATGTGATTATCTCCTAACAGTATGGATAATGATCCCCTCTCGTCTTGTCCTCTCTTATCTCGCTCAGGTGGCTGTATGCACATGGTGTGTCCGCGTCCACAGTGTAAGTTTGAATGGTGTTGGTTCTGTCACGTGGAGTGGAACAGAGAATGTATGGGCAACCACTGGTTCGGATGAGTCGGATACACTCTCACCATCAGCTGAAACTCAGGAAATGAAGCCAAACCTCTAATCATTAGCAGTATTGTGAGGTATATATCATGAAATGCTGCTGACATTCAAAAGTATCTGTGGTAACCACAAAAAAATAAGGGTGTGATGGAATCATATTATAGTGTTATTAAAATGTTTTAATGAAATCCTGAGTCATGTTTTCTTTCAAGTCATCGAATTCCAACATATTTGTTTTGCTCGTGGGAGTATTGTTGTATTACTGACTGCACTTAATAATCACAATGAAAGTGTTTCAGGTTTTTCTCACCCCAATCTAGCTTTTATATTTTTATTTATTTATGTAGAAAAATTAATTTATTCCTGTAATGGTAAAGTTGCATTTTCAGCATCATTACTCCAGTCTTCAGTGTCACATGATCTTCAGAAATCATTCTAATATGCTGATATGATGCTCAAGAAACATTTCTTCTCAATACAAACATGTTGAAAACGGTTGTGCTGCTTCATATCTATAATATTTATATTTACCATTTATTTGAAATGGTAATCTTTTAAAATGATAAATATCTTTATAATGTGATTATAAATGTCTTTACTGTCACTTTAATGCATCCTTACTGAATTAAAGTGTTAGTTTCTTGGGGGTGGGGGACTCCAAACTTTTCAGCGGTAGTGTAACTCGCAGCTTTAGATGTGCATTTATGTTCTCCAAGACACTAGAGACACTATTTTTGTGGATTAGCTCTGACAAAGATTCAGTTTCATTACGATTCATTGTCAAATTGAAAATATTACACTACGGGCAATACATTTGAATTAATGGGATATTTTACATTCGCAGGCTTAAAGACTGTATGTAGAATAAAAAATGAACATAAGTCATTCACCTGTTCTTGTGTATAATGTCAGCTATTTTTCTACTTGTGTTGTTTTCCATTGCTGATGTAATTTGACATCTGTCATGCATGATGTCATTGCATTCCTATCATGTCAATTATTTACTTTTTCAGTCTCTCAGTGTTGTCTGCTCATCGGTATAACCAGGGCTGGTTTATGAACCGGACCAGCGGGGCCAGTGTCCAGGGGCCTTGAACTGCCAGGAACCTCCAAAGCCTCAAACCACAGAGAAACTGAACACCAAGGTCCTCAAATCCAGGCCAAGGCTGAAAGTATCAATAATAAGTAGTTTAGGCTTCTTAAAATCGACTATTTTACCTATTATTAATCCGTTTTTATGGTTATTAGAGTTTTGTGTTAACAGCAAAGTCCATTGAAATCAATTCTAATGTAGTTGCTGGTAATGTAGAACGTTCCAAATCTGTCACTGTTGAGGATCCTTGTTAGGATGCTGCCTTAGAAGACAGCTTGCTGTCTTGCATGTTTCAGAACAAGTCCACACAATGCTTATATCTAGTTTATATGATGATTCGATGACCCTTGATGGACATATTCTGTTGAAACAGGACACAGTACTGGTGCTATAGATGGACCCTAAACAATCCTGTGCTGTTGCCCTGCGACCTCTAGTTAAACATTATGAGATAAGTGTTAGTTCAGTATGATTTATTACAGGGAGGGTGTAACTGGATGTCTAACACGTGTGCTAACGACTCACAGTAAAGATTAACTGAGAAACAAATCATCTAAAGACAAACACAGCCCGTTATTAAAGACGTCAAGAGCGCTCTGCTCGATATACAGGCTGTACTGATGCTGATTTTCTGCTCTACTGGCTCCATTGCACTTCTGCTTAGTTTATGTTTTGGGCTGTAAGTTCACTCTTCTAGCATCTGAAGAAGGAAGAGGAGATCTTCAAGTGCTCTCAGCTGAATCCAGTAGAAGAATGAAGAGATTCGGTCAAGTCGGACCTGACAGGCCTGATAACCTTGAGCTTGAACTGACTGATGGAATCTCTAGTCAGGTGAGGAAACAGCCTTCAGTCTTTGCTTTGAATCTGCTATATTATTTCCTGAACTGTTCAGTGTTCAAAAAATAAATAAGAAATTCTGTGAAGTTTACGGTAAAGCACCAAGAGCTGTGCCTGACAGTTCTTCATCGTAAAAAAAATATGGTAGCAGCATTTAAGGTTTTAAGGAATGAACGGTTATTAACAGTAAAAATTAATATTTCATTAATTGATATGTTCATATCAATAATAATTGTAATCAAAGCTGACGGAAATACAGATATATTGGTAACTGACTCTAAAATAATGCAATAAACATTCATTTATCAACTTAAGATGTAAAATAAAACCCTAATATACATAACTGATAACAAAACAAAAAAAAGAAGAAACTATTATTGCATGAAAAAAAACATCAATGTGAGCTGTCACAGCTTTTTTTCACTTCCAAAAACTATTAACCACTTACCGTTAACCAATTACTTTGTTTTTATCATAGTATATTTTGCAGACGTTTGCCATTAAAATTACATTATTTTTACAGTGATAATTCACATTTTAAACTATTGTGTCATTTGGTGATGTTTTTACTATTTTGTAATGTATGCATGGCTGAAGTCAGTGCAGCCAATCTTTGCTACCCCAGTATCCGTGACAACAGTTAAAGATGTGGGGAGGTCAGTCGCTCACCTGGCGTCCTATGCAAGAGGCCGCTGGAAACATGCTGCCCGCAAGTCTGTAAGGAAGAAACCCAAAGGTATTTATAATAAATGCTTATTATGTGCCCTTCAAAATTCCATGGCAATAAACTCTTTACCTGCTTTGTAAAATGTGATTTTGAAGATGGTTGTGAAAATGTACTCTTTAAAAAATTATGGAATATTTCAATTTGATTACCCTTAGAAAAAGGTATCGTAGCTATACCTAGGTACACTGATGGTATCAGATGGCAATACTTTGGTAGACCTAATTTGAAATAATATGTCATGTACCAGAGAAAGTATGGACTATCCACTGCCAATGGATATACAGACACATTGATATACTGCTGCTGCACGATTAGGCATACATGACATCCTGTAGCAGATCTAGACAGGTGGAGCTGGGGGAGGTGGAGGGTTTCAGAGGAACTCTGATAGCATTGCAGGACCAGCTTATCCACCTTATTTTGCAACACGGAAGTAAGCTATTTCTCTGTGAATGTGCAAGACTTCCGATTCATATGATGTGATTGCTAGCAGATTGCATGTAGATGACCTATCAGCCTGTGCCATCTAGAGTTTCATCACTGATTATAGATTATCACAAGATTATATCGAGATGGATAGAAAGATGGTACAACCATGATGTTATCATTGTACATGTCCAAAAACTGATGTTATTATGGTACTCGTGTTGTCAGTGTAATATCAATCCTACACTGTTCCAAAAATTCCATGAAATTTACGGTAAAAAAACGGCAGCTGTGGTTACCAGAATTTTACCGTAAAAAATAGCAGCGTTTTAGGTTTTACGGTTTTAACTTAAATTTACAGTTAAATACCGTAATTTCATTAACTGATATAATGTTAATATACCAACCTATTGAAGTACTGAAATCTGTTTTGTACCTTTGTAATACACTGATAACGACCAAATGCAGGTGGTGATAAGAAAGTTACATGATGAACCAAAGCCCATCACAAGCAGCTTTTAAATAATAACATATATAGAAGGTGCACAGTGTCATTCACACAAACATTAAACACCATCATGGTAACTGAAATACATGAAACTGAAATAATGCAATAAACATTAATTTAACAACATTAGGTGTAACACACAACCCTAATATACAAAACTTATAAGAAACATAGTTATTTAAACAAAAAAAACATCAAATTTGAAATGTAACGCAAGGAATTCTGGGAATGTCAATTTACGGTTATTCACTGTAAATTATACGGTCTTTTTCACTTCCAAAAACGGTATACTACCGTAAAATTAATGTCCAATACAGTTTTTCACCATATATAGTAGGGGAATTTACCGTTAACCATTTAACAGGTTTTTACTGTAGCATTTTTACAGTCTTTTACCGTTAAATTCATGGTCATTTTTTTACAGTGTATAACTCTAAATCTTTGTCTTTTTAGAGGAATATGTAGGCAGCAAATACAAGGGTCTGGCAATGGATGAAGACAATGTAGATGGACAGAAGAAGATCCAGCTAAATAAAAGGCTTCTGGATCACTTTCGAGTCCTGGCGGCCAGCAATAAAGACACAGATGAGGTAATGCATGAAATAAATGATGTGGCTCCACTTTGGTGAACTTTGGGAGAACATGATGTCGTATTTGTCAGTCCCACACAGTGATATTGATTTTTGCTTTCAGGTGGACCTGCAGTTTCTGAATGATGTCCTCACAGATGGAGCTGACCCAAACTCAGCTGATAAATATGGGCAAATGGCCCTGCATGAGGTTAATGTTTGACTGCTTATGTAAGACATATATGCCATAAAATGTCATTCTGGGATTTAAATGTTCAGCTGATGCTTGCATTCAAATATTGAGAATATAGGTGACATCTTGTAAATCATTCACAGATGTTTGTGTTTACTGGTAGATCTCTCGGGCATGGAATGTGGACGTGATGCGTTTCTTCCTGGAAAGAGGGGCAGATTTTCAGAGGGCCGATGCTTTTGGAGTGACACCTCTTCACGTAGCCGCAGCTCTGGATTATGAGGAGATGCTGCAGTTCCTGTTAGAAAGAGGAGGTGTGTTTATGTGTGTTTATCAGGGTTCAGCAAAATTCAGAATTTAAGAACTGGTTGTACGCTCTCAGAAAAAAAAGGGTACACAAGCTGTCAATGGGGCAGTACCTTTTCAAAAGGTACTAATATGTACTCTCTAGGTATTAATATGTACCTTTAAGGTACTAATATGCATCTTTTAGAAATAAAGTACTAAAGAGTACCTTTTGAAAAGGTACCAGCCCAGTGACAACTTTTGTACCCTTTTTCTGAGAGTGTATGTACTGTACATTCATGAGTGTGATTTTGAGTTGAAATGGTTATATAACACAGAGTATGATGGGAAAAAGTAATTTACTGAGTTGCAGTTTAAACAATAACACAGAAAATGATAAACAATAGTTTATCAACAATAGTTTATTCAATTCAAAAGTTTGGGGTCTGTTTTTTTATTTTATTTTTATTTTTGAAAGAAATTAATTCAGCAAGGATGCATGCATTCAGTTGATCAAAAGTGACAGTAATGACTTTTACATTCAGATGAGTCAAATAAATTCAAATAAATGCTATACTTCTGAACTTTCTATTCATCAAAGAATTACAAAAAGGATCAGGGTTTTCACAAAAATATAAAGCAGCACAACTGTTTTCAGTATTGATAAAAATAAGAAATTGATTGATAGTAATAAGAAGAGCATTAAATCATCATATTAGAATGATTTCTGAAGGATCATGACACTAAAGAGTGCGGTAATGCTGCTGAAAATTCAGTTTTGTCATCAGAGGAATTAATACAATTTCAAAATGTATAAAAATACAAAAGAGTTATTGACTGATTTTACTGTTCTTTGTTTTACTGTATTTTTATCAAATAAATGCAACTTCTTGGAAACTTAAAAAAAAACACTTCTTTTAAAATGTAAAAAATATATATATCAATGATTCCTTGGGTTGAACTGTCCTAGAACAGAGTTGTAAATACAACTTAACCACTGATTTCTAGTTGTGTACTCTTTTGGAAGGCTTTCACAATGAATCACACAGCGTCACACATGGCCGGCTAGAGTGAGCGGAGGCCGGCGGGCTTGAGGCAACCACAGTTACGCCTTCTTTCTTTGCGTGAACATTTGGGCGGCGTTATGCAAATCTTCCCACATCGTGACGTAGGCATGTGGGGGTGTGTTAGAACGAGCCGTTTTAGGTAGGCGTGGTTGACTCAACTTTTATAAAGAATATCCCTTTGGATTTGAGACTTTAGTCTTTGCAACTTTACAGATCTTCTTTATGCACCACGAGATTGTAACACTCCAAAGAGAAAGGAAAAACTGAAATCGCATGATATGACCCCTTTAAAATATATTCAAATAGAAAACAGTTATTTTAAATTGTAATAATATTTCACAATATTGCCGTTTTTACTGCATTTTTTTATCAAATAATTGCAGCCTTGTTGAGCATAAAGATTTCTTTTAAAAACGTTTTAAAAATCTTACTAATTGACAGGCTGATTTGGCAATGAATCAATTCCATATGAAAGACCGAATGACCCGAAAACAGTTCTACTACCTTCATCTCATGGAGCCAAAACCTGCTGACAAGACAAACCCAAAAGGTTCTGATCCGTCATCACCGGTAAACATCTTTAAGCATATTTCACATACATTTCTGTACAGTGTTGCTGCATTAGATTATGATATCTGTCTCTGTCCACAGCTGGAGTTTATTGTCAATCAGGGCAAACTGGATCTCATCATGCACCCTGTAGTGCTCAAACTCATCACTGTCAAATGGAACTTATATGGCAGGTAAACCAACATCAAAGTTCAAAACTGATGCATGGAGAAACATCAGCAGAGATCAACATCCTATTAAATGTTTTCCTACAGAACGGGGGCCTGGATACTCTTGCTTCTCAACTTCCTATTTATCGTGTCCTGGACAACAGTAGCCATATCTGTGTCGGTACGTCCAGATGGAGATCGGTACAATCTTCCTCAGGTAGGACTAACTATCTTTCTCTTGTTGACGATCCTTGACATATTGAAGGGTTCTTCCTTATTTTGAGAATGCACAAAGTAAACAAATCTAGAATATACATTTTTTTGCTTCTGAACAAACATATGCTTACAGTACATGCACTTCTCTTGATAGGACTGGTGGCGTGTGTTGTTGGTGGTTTTGGCACTAGTGCTGACGGTGGCTGAGGTGTACAGGGAAGTGATGGAGATTGTGCGATCTAGGAGGAAACTGAAGCACTGGCAGCATTGGACTGTGCAGAAAATCAGTGAGGACTTGAGCTGCTCTCACCCTATGTGGCCTGAGGTAACACACTGAACCCGTTCACACACTCACTTCTACTTGGTCTTATTTAAGAAGACTGCACTCACAATCTGGATTGAAATCTGTTGATGGATCCTATGTTTTTGATTTTTGTATTTTAAAAGCTTAGTTCACCCAATAAAGAAAATGTTATCATCATTTATACAATTCAGCTTTGCCATCACAGGAATTGATTACATTTAAAAATGTATTTAAATAGAAAAAAAGCTATTTTAAACTATAGTCATATTTCACCATACTGCTATTTTTACTGTATTTTGGAGCATAAGGGACTTCTTTCAAAAACACAAAAACATAAAAAAATCTTACATTATTCCAAACTTTTGACCTGTAGTATAAATGAACAGGAATAAAATACACTCTTGTAAGGACACAACTCACAATTTATTTATTTATTTTTTTTAATATATATATATAAAACAGGAACGCATTTACTTGGAAGGCCAAATTAAGTATATTCGAAACCTGAAAGGAACCTACTCTCAAGACCTCTGGTAATGTACTCATCACAAGCTAATATATAGTTGAATGTTAAAGAGTGTGAAAAAGTACATCATGCTGGGATGTCTCATGCAGGAATATCTTTGATTGGCTGGTCTATTCACTGCTGCTGGCAGTTCTGGGCATCCACTTGGCAGATATATTCCTAGTGTCTGACTCACTTCGACAGAACAGTCTTCGCCTCTTCGCAGTGTCCATTATTTTCCTATGGTTAAGGCTGATGAAGCATGTCCGAGCCTTTAGGTAATGAATCTTTTTGTAAGTATAACTTTGGGATCTTGACTTCCACCAGGGGTTTCCAGAGCCTTTATAAGTCAAGCCTATTTGATTTTAGAGGAAATTATTATGATTTTTGAATAATCAAATAACCCAGACTACACGCATCTTTCCTTACGGGTAAAACTACAAAACTGAAAATCAAGTTGAATGCATGTAATTTGAAATGTTAAATGTATTTGTATGTGTGTGTGTGGGATTTCATTTTCAAAATGGCCAGATAAATTAAAATCAATTCATAAATTCTCATCACCTGTTCTAGAATTTTACTTAAAAAATTGTGGATGTGTATGTAAAGTAAACTTTTTTAAAGGGGGTCATGAAGCATATGGCTTTTGAGATAGTGGTCATCCGAGTAAAATGTTGGGGACCTAGGCTCTGTAGGAACACCTGGTCAGTAGCAGTTACCATAGAGACTCAGATGTCAACACCTTTTGGGTCTCCTGACTGCTATGACACACAGAGCGCCTGGAGTCAAATGCTGTCACCTGGCCAGTGGCCCAAATAACAATGCTTCCATATCTCAGGTTTCACTGAGACTCCACAGGTGGCCTCTTCTTTGTAGGCTAGGTAACCATGGGAACATATGGTCAGAGTTACGGTAACCATAGAAACATAAGGACGCGGGGGTTTGGACACCATGTGCTCAGTCACTTCTGAATGCTACTACAGTATTTCCATAGTATGCCATTTCACTCATCAAGCAGAGCCAACAACAATTCGGCTGCTTTTTCCAGATCCAGAATCAATCACAATAGTGCAAACACTGACTTAAAGAAAAAAAAAAAACTACAATATTATGTACCATTATACACAACCGTTCAAAAGTTTGTGGTCAGTAAGATTTTATATTTTAAAGAAATTAATACTTTCAATCAGCAAGAACATGTTAAATTGATCAAAAGTGACAGTAACGATTTTTGCATTGTTAACAAAAAATTATATTTCAAATGATAGCTGTTCTTTCAGACTTTCTATTCAGCAGAGAATCCTGGGGGGGGGGGGG